TGTGCAAACAACCAAAAGAAAAAAAAAGATTTTTTTTTTCACAGCAAAATAAAAGGAGATCATGAACAGCGGGCTTGGAAAAAAATAAAGGCTGTACAAAAAGGTCGCCCTAAGGAGCATCTCCCCAGTTTTCTTCCTGGTTGAAAAATAACTTCCAGTGTCATGATTCAGAATTCTAGTAAATTGGTAACCTATACAGGTAGTCCTCAATTTATGACTAATTATGTATATATGAATAACAGGAATATGTATCAAGCAGTAGATGGTGAATACACTGATTACTCTTGCCTCCTACTTCCCCATAACAACGACCCTGTGAGAGATAGGTTAGGCTAAGAACAAAAGAGACCTTTGCTCGGTCTTACAAAATTCAACAGAAAGAATACACATGAAGCTTGAAAACTAACCATATAAAGAATGTCCACTGAAATGCACAATTCTCCCATGTACACCTTTTCTTTGTGTACTTATACATGAGTGCTATTTTACTTTGCTGCAGTTCATATTCTGTAATTGTACTGCAAAGTTTGGAAACATGAAAATTTTAATCTTCCTGGTTTGGACAAGATCTGTAACACATTCATCCGAATCTTCATGAGCAAATCTTTTGCTTTCATGTAGTCAGAATGTCTTCTTGGCTAAAAGAAGATTGAGGTTTGAAACGAGATGTCTCATCCCAAAATTAAAGCTTTGCTTGGCATTTTTATGCTTCTTATGTCAAATTTGTAAATAGCTTATATTTTCTCACGAACTGAAACGACTTTGCCCAAGAATAAATAATTTGCCTGCTTGACAGCCCTGTAATAAAGTTTGAGAAACTGAATACTGTACGATGGTAGGAAGCAGGGCACTATGCTGTCACGATATCCATACTTCCTTTTTATTGGAGACAACAAAATTATTTTATAGTGGTCTCCGCATGTGAAAGTTGGAAACTGGATTGGAAGAGAATTGAAAGCACTGCAGCCTTATCTCTTTCCTCGTACCCCTTTGGTCTCCTCATCATTACTAATCAAAGAAGGGCTGGAGGCATTTGAAGCAGTATCCAAAACCTGAAAAATCTTGAGCAGTTGCAACCACAAGTTATTTTATTGGTTTATAACATTTATTGGCTGCCCATCTTACCTCAGAGTAACCCTGGGCAGCTTACAGTCATAAAAAAAAAACCCTATAGAAAGATAAATATGAATAGTGTTGGCAGGGTAGCCTTTATAAGCCGCCTTCACTTCTGTGAAGACCTGAGCGCTACTTCAGACTTTCAAAATGCCTTTAAGGGATAAAAATGATAACACTAAAAAAATTTCACATAGAAGTAATCAAACATTTCAGGCCTAACATTCTCAGAAAAAGTTCTAGAGATAAATTCAGCAGGAGGAGAGCATGGCAATAAGCCAAAAACATACTTATGGGGTAAGGAAAACTGTCTCCATCCAATGCAGGTTTTCTCTCTTTACAAGCTTGTATGATGTGCTCTTTCTGCTGTTCTCTTAACAGGTGAAAAGCCCTGAAGGTCGCCACAGTTTGAGTTCCCAGTACAGGATGCATTCTTATTATCCTTCCAGCTCTTACTTGGGACAGAGTGTTGGAGCCCCTGCCTGTGTTCCCCAAATTTTTACTTTTGAGGAGAATCCTTCTTACTCTGAAACAAAAGCAAATGGTAAGCATCTTGTCAACCTTCATGGGAAGAGATTTTGGGGCGTCTACTGAAAAGCCAGTGGCTGAACTGGGTAGAGGCAGAGGTAACATTGGAGAAGGATAACATCTTATTACATTTTTCTGAATGACTCTTAAAATGGCTGCTTACTTCCACTTTATGGTAATCCTTTTTTCCTCCAGCATTATTCCTTAAGAGAATAAATATTTCAAAGTTTTGGTTTATGTTTGGGCTTGGGGACTTCTTGAAAATCTGTGTGGTTTCGCAGCCTGCAGCTGTTGGCATAGCACTAAATCCTTCTTCAACTTGAATAGTTTGCAATATATAAATTGTTGGGGAGCAGTATTTTACTCCTTCTCCTCAACACCTTGCCCTCTGTATGTAGCACACTGGGAAATCTGGGAGCTGTTGTGCAACCAATCTGGAAGGCATCTAGTTGGAGAAAGTTGTTTGTAGGATTTTGAAGGAGGAGAATTGTATACCTTGTGCATTTCTAAATTGCAAAAGATTCAATGTTTTCCATCACTATTGACTACTTGTCCAGACAATATTCCAAATTCTGATATTGTTCCCTAAGTTAATCCATCAATCATCAACAGACAAGCAGGGAGATGTAATTTACTGAGCTCAAGCCGACTTTTCCCAGCTGTGACAAAGTATTTTTCCATAGCAGGTGACCTGCCAGCCTGAGAAACACAGGTACGCTTAGACAGGGTGCGAATTCGAAATCACACAGCATACATTTTGGGTGATCCTTCTCATAGTTCCTCTGTGTTCCGAATACAATGATCATTTCAGGCACAGCGTACATTTTTTTATTTTAGAGGCAGACACAAGTCTCCCATCTTCTCTGTAATTGCAATAAAAAAGATAGAAAGTGGAACCATGTACCGTACATGTTTTGAAATCAAAATATAAGGATTTGAAGGATACCTCTTGTTCATTCTCCCTTTATTTGCTGTCAGAATTCCTTTAACAACTTTGTAGCTTAAAGATCTCAATAGGTGGCAGCACCTGGCAAACTTCTCTGGCACAGAAGTGAAACCGGCCGTGATTGTTTATTATTCGGATAGGATACCTCCACATGCTTATAACTGTAGACCAAACTGGATGCAATAATAATAATAATAATAATAANAATTAATTTCTCTCTTTTCTATATATGCAACTTCATTAGGTTTTGAAATTCAAGGAAAAACTGTCTATACTGCAGTCTTGAAGTTGCCCCATTGTGGATCTCTGTAGCAAATAAATTCCTTTCTCCCTCCCCTCTCCTCTCCTCCCCTCCCCTCTCTCCTTTCTTTTACCTCTCCTTTCCTCCCCTCCCTTCTCTCCTTTCCTCTCCTTTCCTTTCCAATATTGCAGTTTACATCTGGTGCTTTTCTGATTTATAGCCAGTGAATTAGCCACCAGTTGCTTAGAATGATTTGTTTATTGATTGTAGAAGCCATTTAATTCCAAGTGTGGCATTTTTTTGTCGAAATCATTATTGCTTTCACTGTTGACAGTTTATGAGGAATGACATTGCTAATATGATAATACAGCTTGATTCAAAGATAGGCCATGTGGCAAGATGATGTAGCCCTCACCTTGTTTTCTCAGTTGGCTTTCAGATTATAATAAATCATGTGAGAGCTTAGTTGTGTGCTGCCTCAAAGTGCAAACAATGGCAAGAAAGAATTGTCCATTTAAATGCAGTGGTCAGTCTAATTTCCATGACTCTCTCTTGAAGGCTTGTGTGAGTTTTTCTCTGTTACGGTCAGATGGTGTCACTCTTGAGAATTGTTGCTTAATTCATTTCAGTGATGGAAGAATGTCTTGGATAATAGTGGTGCATTACCCTTATCCTTTCCATACTTGGTCATCTTTTTTTTTCTTTTTTGTGCCCAAATAGTAAATATAGTTTTTTATTTGATAATAATCCATATATCTTCCTCCTGGCTTAGAAGATACTGTGGCTCTATTGCTCTAGTAATCAAATTATAGTATGATTGCATCTCAAATATTCCAGTGAGTAACTGAGCCAAATCTAATTGGAGACATAGTATCTCTGCAGATTCAGAATTACCATATTTTTCAAAGTATAAGATGCACTCCCCCCCAAGTGGGTGAAAATGTCTCTGCATTTTATACAGCGAATGATGCCAAAGCCCCACCCACCCTTTGCCTGTTTTCAGCCTCTGCACGTCACATTTTCAGCCTCCACATGGTCTGTTTAAGACCCGTTCCAGGCTGCGGGGTCGACACAGCACATGGCCAACGATCGCGGTGTCCCACGTCACGTTTTTGGCCTCTGCGCGTCGTGTTTTTGGCTGGTTCCAGGCGGCGGGGATCGCCAGAGTGTGTGGAGGCTGATCCAACCGCCAATCAGCTGCTCATGCTGAATCAGGATGCTGTAATGGTGTTGAAGCTGACTGGGCTGTTTGCTGTTTTCTGCAAGGATGCTAGTCAGATGAATACTGATGGATGCTGGTAGGCAGAGGCAGAATTAATGACTGTTTTATGACTGTTTAAATTTACGACAGTGCAGAGAATGGGTACTTTATGATCTATTGTTAATGGTTCACTGTCTCCCTCCACAGTCACATGGCCGCACGTTGTGTGGGTTAGCTTTACATCCCATCATGACATTCTATGCTCACGTCACCGTGATTTGCAGTGTTTTTTGCTAATTTCCCAGAAAATTGCCCCTTTGGTGGGTTCAGTTAACAACTATGGAGTTTGCTTAATGACTGTGAAGTTTGCTTACCAATTGCCACAAAAATGGCCCGAGATTTTCTTCTGGTCACCAGGGTGCCTTGAATTAAGACCTTAATGATTTGCAATTATAATTCTGGTCATAAGTCAAGAACTACATGTACATGTCCTCCCATTCCTGCCACCGTCGGTGATGTGGAACCAGGTGCCATAGAGGGTGTTGCTAGTTTGGATCTGGGGTATGAAGGCAAACCATCTGCTTAATCTGTCTAAATTTTATTAGAATTGACTCTATTTGGAAAAGCAGGACATTAAATTGGCAAATAAGAAAAAAGAAGAGGTAGCAATGGAACTGAGCTATGCAGGAGGACTGGAAACACTTAATGTTTTTGATGAATTGACAATTATGATTTTTTTTCCCCTTGTGGCACTTGAGATAATGTAGAAAAAGACCTATTTTGATCTCATTTCCATCATGTTTTTAGTTGCTGCTCCCTTGTTTCTTTGCTTTGAATTGCATTCTGTAATCCAAAATGCACCAAGAGATAAAATGCAGGTTTTTCAGGTTGCTTCTGCTGTTGAATAATTGGTTGTTTCGTCTATTCTTTCTCTCCCCTTTTCCTCCCCCCCCCCTTTTCTCTTTCTGCAGAAGGACGGATGCTGATTCAAGACATTCCTTCCCTGGCCAGCAGAGGGCATCTGGAGAGCACATCTGACTTAGTTATGGACCCCACCTACTACAGCAGTTTATACCAGCCATCCCTGTATCCTTATTACAACAACCTGTATAATTATTCTCAGTATCAAATGGCTGTGGCCACCGAAACCACCTCTGGTGATATGGGAAGCCCATTGACCGGGTCACCTGTTAAGAACAGCCTCCGAAGCCTCCCAACAACTTACATGTCAAGCCAGTCGGGAAACCAATGGCAGGTACTGTATAAATGAGTAAAGGCAAGGGCCTTGTTTGATGAATTCAGATTGTTCTGAGTTTACTTTGAGAATCACTGGAATTGCTGTGGTTCTACAGGTTCAAAGCACATGACCTCTTTCCTAATTTGATACTCCCCAGGGATGTGGGGGTAAAACTGCCATTATTCCCAGTTATTATTGCTAATTGTCAGTGATGATGGAAATTGTGGTCCAATATATCTAGGGAGGAACAGATGTGTTAAAAAAAAGACAAACATAGAATTGTCATGCTTACTCTTAGATTCTTCCCTCCTCAAAATAGGTATATGTTAATTAACATTCTGTCTTGAGATTTATAGGGAATCTGTGTTTATCAGCATGTCGGGAGTCATTCTCTTCGTGGTTACTGGTTTTGTATTTTTACATAAATGTAACTAGAATGAAGCGTTTGACCAGAACTGAGGATAAATTCCCACTTAGACAGGAAGCACATTGGTTAAATTTTGACTATTGCTCATCCTACCAGACCCCACGGAATTGGTATGCAGGAATACGGGATGGTAAAAAAATAATAGCATTTGTGCAGAATAAATAAATAACAGAACCTGCTATTGGTCTGGATCAGTGGTAGTCAACCTGGTCCCTACCGCCCACTAGTGGACGTTCCAGCTTTCATGGTGGGCAGTAGTGGTTTGCTGTAACTCTGCTTTATAAATTTTATAAAGTAAAGTTACTTCCTTACTTTATAAATCACCATTACTGTGGAACCAGTGGGCGGTTATAAATTTTTACTTCTAACAGAGATACAAAAGTGGGCGGTAGGTATAAAAAGGTTGACTACCCCTTGTCTGGATAAAGACTTACCACATTACTTCATTATCTTACATTTATTATGAAAACAGGATTTGCATCGGTGGGAACTATACTTGGATATAAACCCCATTGAATAAAAGTTAATAGCCTGAAAAACATTTAAAAATATATGATATACTGATGCAGACCATGCATCTGTCTAGTACAGTGTTTCTCAACCTTGGCAACTTGAAGACGTCCAGACTTCAACTCCCAGAATTCCCCAGCCAGCAAATGCTGGCTGGGGAATTCTGGGAGTTGAAGTCCGGATGTCTTCAAGTTGCCAAGGTTGAGAAACACTGGTCTAGTAGTATGAGTGGCAATAGCTGTTTGACGTTTCAGGCGGAAATTTTTCCTACTTCCCCCTGGAGATACAACCTGGGCCTTCAGGCCACAGATCCTCTGTTCTACCACTTGCCTGCAACCTTGGAAGGATTACACTTCATGCAGTTAGGGACCTATCCAACTAGGAAGGGTTGCTTTTCAAAACTANCGAGGTGGGTAAAATGAGGACCCAGATTGTTGTTGGGGGCAATATGCTGACTCTGTAAACCGCTTAGAGAGGGCTGAAAGCCCTATGAAGCGATATATAAGCCTAACTATTGCTATTGCTATAAAAGGTTTATACTGATAGCCAGTTTTGCTGCCTCTACATAGCACAGATTTCAGTATTGGGTTGAATACAAAATATAGCATCCTAGAATTCAATATTTCAATCAAGTTTCTGTTTCTTAATGTTATAGAAATGGGTGTTAAGTCATGGGAATAATATCAAGTGAAATCTCAGAAAGCAGACGGCTAGATTGAAAGCACCGCTACACCACTTCCATTTCTCCCTCTCCCAAACCTTCTGATCCGCGATAGCCCCATTTGTCCCCCTGGCCGCTGTTTTGAACTCTCACCAGAACCCATCAATGCTCACTTCAACTGCCCAACATCAGTATCAGCCTTTTGCTAGGATTCTGCTCACCACAACTACCACCATAGAGAAATGCCCTAGATAAATCAGCCAGTGGGTCTGTAAGCACAATAATCTTGAGACAATTTGTGGCTTTCTTGCGTGTTCACTGCTAGCCAGGGATGACAGCATTGGGGCATGGATCCTTTTTATGCCATTCTTTTAGGGGCTTTCTGTTCCTCCCTACCTTGAGGGAACATAAAATTATATGGCTTGAAAATTTGTCCTCATTGCTGATTCTTATCCTACTTCTGTTCTCAGTCGCTGCCAATCACCTGGCTTACCTCTTAGAGAGTCATTCTAAAATATCTTATCTTAGAGCAACAAATCAGATTAAAGTGTAATTTCAGGTTAGTTCAGCATGTCATTAAAAACAAAAGGATATTGTATCCCAGCTATGTATTAATCAGGTTCATCTCTTCTTAACTTGAGCTCAATCAAAGTCAAGTAGCTGGAGAGAGACAAGTTCAAGTCTACTCCCATAACAGAAGCTCACTTTGGCTATTTATCCTCAGCGTAAGCTGCCTCACAGGGTTGTTGAGGAGAAAAACTGAAGGGAGTGCTTTGTATGCCGTCTTGAATTCTTGGAGTAAAAGCAAGATAAAAATCTTACCAATCCGTCAGTGATGGCAGCAGCTGGTCAAATATGACTACAGGTAATCTTCAATTTGCAGCCCTAATGGAACTGCCCATCACAGTCATAAATTGTGATGGTTGTAAAGAGGGTCACCAACCCAATTTTATGACTCTTTTTAACGTCGGTTGTAAAGCAAACCTTTGCTTTACACCCAAAAGTTACGAACAACTTTCCTTTGCTCTGGGCCTATTTTGCTAAAAACAGGAATTAAATGCTGGGCTTTCAAGCAAAACTATCCCAAAGTGCAGTCACTTGACTGGGATGCTGCAAATGTTGCTGAGCACCCACCATGTGGTCAGCAGACTGTAATCATCCAAACAAGAGGTGCCCAGGTTTTTGTTGATCTTGAACAAGACCCCGCTCATCTAACAGGCCCAACTTGCAGATAAGATAATGATCCCCAATTTATTTTCAGGGATTCCTTGCTATCCTACTCAGCTTCATAACTTGAATTGTTTAATTCCTAAGGCCTTGGAAATGTTCAACTTGTGCTCTGTGACTTTACGAGGACTGAGAACCACAGAGTTGGAAATTGTCCCTCACTTCCTCTTTCTTCCTCTCAGATAACTAGCCGTGTGATGGCGAGGGAAGAGCAGGCTTTACAGTGAGGCTTCAAGAACTTTGGGGACCATGGGATTGTGGTTACCTACTAGGGTTTAGGAAATTTAATTCAGTGCTATGACCCTGAATTAAGGCATTGCAGTGCCATCAAAAAAGAGAAATTGTCAAAGAGGTATTCCCATTGCTGATGCGTGTTAGGGGAGAAGGAGATTTTATTAGGTAATTAAGAGGACTAGGTCTATTCTACGATAGGGGGGTAGGTAGGTAGGTAGGTGTAATCCAAGGATCTCAAGGCAAATTCTGGGCAGTTTGGGCCCAACTGAAGCAAAATTCCAAATTTGAGTAGATATAAGTTATTTCTTTTATTCCCGCCTCCTTCCAATTTCTGAATGGGGCATCGGTAAATGTAATTACGGATTTGTTTAGTTGATACCATGGAAACAATCCTGAAAGAAGGCCATGTGTAGAAGTGATACAGAGTTCTCATGTTCTGTCTTGCTTGCTGGCAAGTCATTTAGTTGACACTTCCTGATTACACCACTTCCTTATAATCCATGCATTGTATTCTGCTAACTCCTGGGTCCTTAGCTATTATTGTTGGTAATTAATTTGTGAATAGGATTGAAAGGGAAAACATGGGTATTACAGCTATATGTAGCATTTTGTACCTAAAATATGGAAGCATCTGCCTGCAAGTTAAAATAGGTGCTTATTTTTGTGGGATTGTATTGGGGATTGTACTAGGAAGGGAAGTTGGCAGCCCCAGAAAAAGCAGCTGCTTATTGAGTGTCCCTATAACCCCAAAGTAACTTTTTGGATTAAAATCTCTGCATTTTTCTGGTGGATAAAATCATTTTTTAAAAAAAGTGTTAATGCCTTGATCCTAACATCTAAAAAGGAAGCCGTATTTAAAATACAGTTCAGGCCATGTTTAAAAGGGGCAAAATATAAAGTCTATCAAAAAAGATTTCATTAAACATCCGAAGAGAAATCATAACAGAACCAGGCAGATTTTCTGAGAAAAGCTATATCCACGGCTAAGCTACAATAGTAGCTTATTATGTACTCTAATCTCAAATAGTAGTGGGATACACATCAAACACCTCCATCCCAATCATGGGAGCCATCAGCCAGTTTGATCTAGTGATTAAGACACCAGATTAGAAAGTGGGAGACTGAATTCTAGTTCCACCTTACCCATGAAAGCCAGCTGCGTGACTTTGGACCAATCACCCAGCTACTCACAGTACTCAGCCCAACTCACCTCACAGGTTGGTTGGGAAAACAGGAGGAGGAAGGTGTGTTTGATATGTTCACCACTTTGAGTTATTTGTAAAAATAATGGCAGGATTTCAAGGTTACTATGATTTTTTAATTCTGTTTGCTACGGTAATACAGATCTGAGAATTCAAGCATGCTGGCTGACTCTCCCAGTATGGAGTACTGTAGTGGGAAGTTAGAATCTTCTAATCACCTATTTTTCCCCTTACTATATGTTACTAGTTAAGTCCAGTGTTTCTTTTAACCCAAGGAAGACACTAAGCAAAGAGGAACGGCTAAAAAAAAATTTCCCTAGATTTCTACTATGTTTTGAATAGGTTGTTGATTTAAGGTTATAGAGTCAAATCAGTCTTGTAATCCTGATAATGTAAATAATCAAACATTAAGAGAAGATTAAAAGTGATCCTCCCAGAATGCCCACAGTGATCACTGAAATTGTTTGAGACAACTTTGCTTATTTGTTTGAGAGTTTAATGTTTGATATTCAAGATTACTTAAACCTGTTTGGTTGTCCTCAACACATTTTAAATATTCTGCCTTGTGTTTGCTAGGTGATCAAAACATGATTTAAAGGCTGAACAATATCTATCTTGTAAATGCATAAGTGGATGAATGAATTGGAAATCTGTAATTGGGGAAAGTGATTGTGAATTTTGGATCAGCTATCATCTGCTTATGTTTACCTACTATAACTGTGGAAAGTCTTGTGAGCAAGAATACTTCTAGGATTGC